CAGGCTCGGTGACTTGGTTGATGCATGTCATCGATCCCAATCGCGTGGATCTATGCTCATGATGTCAATCACTGGATTGTCTGGTCCAGACTCGATTATTTTACAGACCGCCGTCATATAGCTGGAATATTGCTGAGTGCGGCGTAAAACAACAAACCAAAAAAATCGAATATGCCAGGATGTTACAGAAGTGCTTTTGCTAAATTTAGATGAGGGTCGGCACCAATCAGACTGTGACCTATATGTGCCATAATAAGATGAAGTGCAAGTTGCTCTTAGGTGTATATTTTATGATGATCTGAAGCTTGTAGTCTATGCAATACCTTTAATATGTTATCAGATACAGAACAACTTTCAGTGCTTTTTAATCAAACTCTGTTTTAATATTCTACAACGATGAAAATAACTTTTATACAAAATACTGACTGTCAGATATAAATCGTATTTCAACCATTAATAAGGCAGACTTCTGAAATGCAGAAAGCATTCCGAGCTGATTTGTTTTTCAGTCAGGTCGTTTTCTTGCGATGACACCAAGAGGATATCGATTTTTTTTAAATTTTAACTCTTTCACACGCAGCATGTTTGCAACTTTACACATGCTAATACCATTCAATAGATCATGTTTTCAACACTCACTGTGTACATATTTGCTGTGACAATACCAACCATTTCAAACACCGTAGCAGAGCACCTTACACGACAACATACCTCACTGTACGACTGCGTTTATAGTTACTGGTGTGAGATTGCAATGTCCGCACCTATATACTTTTTAATATGATCAGAAACATTCTAAACATAACGAATAATGCTTGCCCTTTATCGCATTGTGCAAGGATATTGCGTAACACCACAGTGACCTGACAAGTGACCTGACAAGTGACCTAGTATGTTGTCGTATTCGCTGTTGTAAAAAACAGTAGTGGTAGTTGTAATTATGGTAGTAGTACCAGTTTTTATTAAGGCACATTATGCATCTGGACGGTCTTGATGGCAATTTGACACAATTAATATGAGTAACACAACTAATATAATCGTTCTCAAGATCCCCCACCAACCACCCCCAGCTTTAATCAATTAAAACAACAGTTAAGCAGATTAACCCTCAAAGGATACCGCACTATCTTCGTGGGCAAAAGTTTGTCCACAAAGTTGACGCACTGCAAATACCCGTCATCTATATTGACTATATAGAAACTACTAACAATACCAATTTTAACAAGATTAATGAAAGGGATCTACAATGGCTAAGTCTTTATAATCCCAGCAAAACAAAATCGATTCTTGTTTCCACAAAAGAGCTGCATAATTTGTGTAAATAAAACACTCAGCCTCAATCTGCTTGAAAAGAAATAACTCAGCCCCAATTATGGCAGGCCATCCTCATTGATACAGGGTATTTCATGAGCAAAGCCATAATCTTTGACAAAGAGACACTATGTCTGGAACCCTTATTATTAACAATCATTTCAAATGTTCCATTTCAAGAAGCCATATCATGCAAGTCACTGTGTTGTATCCATAAGTCATGACTGAAACAGTTGTTGACTGTGATGTGAAATGACCATTAAGCACAATTGAATTAACAAAACTACAACATGAAAATAAAAATAAATATAGTTCATTGAAATATCCTAAACTGACATTGTTTGTTCCTAAAAACAGAACAGCACCAATGGCAAAGAAGATACTTGTATCATCAAAAGACATGAATTAACAACATCATTACAAGTTATGCCATGAGAATCAAATTGGCCTAAAATGTACCCTATTGAAGTTTGAGATGCATCAGTTATGAGGATGAAATGTTTGTTTTGGTCGGGATATGCAAGGATGGGGGCTGTTGTAAGGGTTTTTTTTTCAGCTTTTCAATTTTCTGTTAGCACTTGTTGGACAATTTGAAAGACACGTCTTTTTTTCAGAAGGTTGTATGGAAGGAAGGAGATGCCAAAAAGGTTTGCTACAAATTTGCGATAATACGAAGCCAAACCTAAGAAATGTCTAATGTAATGGACATTTTTAAGGGATGGTAATGTGTGACTGATCTTTTTTTGAAGGATGTACATGGATGCCATCTTTGGTGAAGATATGCCCAAAGTAGGCGACTTATTTTGTCACGAATTTACATTTGGTTTTTGGGCGAATCCTGCCTCTTTGATCTTTTGGAATGCTGCCTTGAGGTGATTCCAATGATTTGAAAACGTTTTAGAAAATATTATGATGTCATCCACATATATTAATATGTAAACCAATTCATTTCTTTTAGTGCCTAAACTGGTTTGCTGAAATGCCATAGGAGCAATTTTGAGGCCGAAAGTGAGACAATTCCATTCAAAAACACCATCGGTTGTAATGATGGCCGACTGGTGTTTTGTATCTGGATGGAGTGGTATTTGCCAAAAGCCATAAGCACAATCAAGGACATTAAAAATGTTGGCATGGCTGTCACCTCTTGATGGGATCAAAGACATTTTCAAAATGTGGTAGAGGGGGAAATATAGGCTTGGTAACAGCATTGAGACGTCTATATTCTACGGAAAAGCGGTATGAGCTATCCCGTTTTTAAACCATGACAATGGGAGAGTGCAATTCAGAAGACGTGGGCTGAATCATATTGGTTTCTAACATTTCTGGCACCTGTCTAGAACATTCTTTCATGATGGCTGTGTTTTGCTTATTGGAGTCTAATGGGTCTGGCGTGACCTGTTTCTATTTTTGTTATGATGTATGTGAGTATGTCCTAATCCGGACCAATCTGAGGCAAAAACTTTGCATTTATTGTATGCTTGTACTTTCGATATTGTGACTATTTGTAAAACGCTTTAGAGGACAAAGCCTCCATGACGTCCAGGGGTATTGTTATAGTGCACACCTCTTCACCTAATTGTTTCAATATGGTTCCAAAGTGCACAGAAATTAGATCTCCTTATTCTGTTTTATGTATACAGCAAACATTGAGCATATCCACTCTAATCATAAGCCCCCGAAGGGAATATTGAAGCCTTCCCTCGATTTAAATGGAGTTTAAGAAGAGATAAATTGTCAGTTCCACCAGACTTCCCATATAGTCTCAGAAAATTTAACATAATATATACAAATGAAGATATGGTGCCGGTAATTAAAACTTATTTATATAAACGATGTGGCAGCCCCCATGAAAATTCATATAAGTTTTTTTCTTGATGCTATTTAGGGGTGTCTTTGCCGGCAGGTATTTTTCGGAACTATAAATATTTCACCAGATCAAAATAAATGCTAGCACAATGTTGTTAAAGACAATGATCCCTGCCTGTCGGGAAAGTGTGTATAATTGTCTTGACATAAATAACGTAAAATAAGGCCAAATAGCACACTTTTATTCCTTTCAGAAAATGAAATACGCACAATAACCTTTTAGATTTAACATTACTCAACAAGGTGGGAAACAGCATCACCATATTGAATCCTTGACATAGTGCCATCTTCTAGTTATTGTTTTTGGCTAGAAGCCGCTCGTCCTACAATTAAGTAAATAATAATGAAGAACAGGCAATTAATTTGTATCATCAAACGGAAAACTAGAATATCAATATTATACATGAGACATATATGTAGACAAAATTCCATATATATCTTATTAATATAATTATTTATATATTATTTTATAGGCTACATTGTGAAATAAATGTTCAGTTTAAGAACTTACTGTTCAGTTCTCTTTAACTCTTGGTTATATGATCGACTTTCAGTGTCTCCTTCCTCGCTGCAAGGAAGGTGTCGACGGCAAACTAACTATCTACAGGAGGTTGATTATGGCTTTAAAGCAGTTCCAGTGTACAGTTTCCCATCATCATGACTTAATCTCGAAATTATGCCCATTGTATGGTAAACTCCACCACGAGAATTAGGAATAAATCTAACATTGACATGTGCGTTTGCCATTTTGCAATGACACTTTCTAGGGAGGGCAGTATTTGTATACGAGTTATATGTTTGTGTGTTGGTCTATCCAATTTCTCTGTGTCAGTCTGGTGTCCGTCTGCCATCTCTACTAACCGCAGAGTTGTTATTCTTACTCGCTACCTATCTGGGTCACAGATTATCCTCTGGCGATGTTGTGACTGCACGTTTATACCATAATTATTGCTCTACATCCCCACATGGACAAAGAAGGTTATTTACCTGATTACTTAGTCCAGCAACCTCACCAGGTATGTGTGACTGTAGTCAGAGTGGACCGACTCTTGTCTGGGCAACTGTGTGTCACTATCGTAAACAGTTTATTTGTTCTTATTTGTGTATTTAGTAAAACACATGGATTACTGAAACAGGTCACTTTATGATAAAACACAATACTGTAGTTGACAGAGGAACACAGTTCAGTCAATTGTAATTTACGAGACTTGGCTGGATCTGACTGCTCGCCCTGAGTTAAGCTCATCAATGAAGAGTGAAACAGACTACAGCTTTGAAATCACCCTACCGTGAGTTGTAATTCCCCTTGCCTGCCGGCAATTTGAGAAGAAACCGTTAGTTTTAATCCCCCTTGCCTGTTGGCAAAGTGAGAGGATACCGTTAGTTTTAATCCCCCTTGCCTGCCGGCAAAGTGAGAGGAAACCCTTAGTTGTAATCCCCCTTGCCTGCCGGCAAAGTGAGAGGAAACCCTTAGTTTCAATACCCCTTGCCTGCCGGCAAAGTGAGAGGAAACCGTTAGTTTTAATCCCCCTTGCCTGCCGGCAAAGTGAGAGGAAACCGTTAGTTTTAATCCCCCTTGCCTGCCGGCAAAGTAAGAGGAAACCGTTAGTTTACAATGGAACTTTACCATGTGAATGAAAACATCCTTAGGAATGTACACAGATATATAAAAAACCCAAAAGGTTTGATTGAGCAATGTTAATGTACATACGTTTCTGTATTTCACTTTTTCCTTTCTGTCATTTAATGTATTTGTGATCACTTGTGCCCACTCCTTTTCATGAGAATAAAATATGTCTAAACTCAAAAAGATGCATCCTGACCTGCCAATGAGCCTCATTTCGTGGTGTGGTCACTGTAGAAGAAACTTTTCTCGTGGAATATGGAGAGCAGAGTAAAGTAAACTCTTGGCTAATCAACTTGTTTTCCAGCCATGCTTCAGAGCTTCATCCACAGGATGGTGACCATCTGATTATTCATTAATCCCACCTTAAAACCGAACTTTGTTATTCAGCTAGTCCGTCATGGGAGATATTTCGAGTGAATTTAATGTACCGTTTGAAATGTAATTGAAAAGACATGTCCAATAAGAAAAAACTTCCCAATCTGAGTCAGACTTGAATCATGAAAACGCTACCTTTTGAAACGCATGAATTGTGTTGACAAAGGAGAGCCAAAGTCATTAGGACTTTTCTCTCTATGTAATGTAGCATGCCACCTGCCTTATGCCTTTTTCATTACAAAGTTTATTTGAATATGTATAAAAGCCTTCTGAATGTAATGAAATACTGGCTTTCCTTTATCGTGTTGTGCATGATATTGCATAACACTATACTGACATGACACGTTAACTCTCTGTATACAGTAGTAATATTGGTAGTTATTGCAGTTGTATCAGTAGTAGTTGCTAATGAAAAGTTAAGTGAATTCAACCATTTAATAAACGATGATGTCGATGGAGCAACTTACAAACGGACCGATCTGTTTTTATAAATTCTTTCCAAATGTTCTTCTGATCAGATTCGGGGGCATGGGTGGCCCATTCGTCTAAGGCACCTCGATTCGCTGTGCAGAGTTGCTTCCCTTGGGCACGCAAGAAACCTATGATTGTGGGTTCGAATCCTGGTTCGCCCCAATTATGTTTCCAGGTTTGTCAGCACCATACCCGTGCTCGTCGGTTTCACAGAAGTGGTAAACCTCTGAGACCTGCATCACTTCGGGCTTTCCTCCCCAATTAAGCTGACACGCCGTGATAAAACTGGAATACTGTTAAAAACGATACTAAACCCAACTCACTCACTCACTCACTCACTCAATTTACATGTGCTCAAACTAGTTTTACCTAAAGTCTGTGCAGGTCTAGTTATTGTATTGTCCTTCGGAGACAGGTTTTATGCACTCTAAATATATTTGTTAATAATGTTTAACTTTATCTCGTCACGGTATGGCGATGTGACGTTACATGTTAACTCACTCTAATCAGATTCTAGGTACTAGAAAACAGAATGGCAAATCTCAACCAACATGGTTTGATAGTGACCGTGAAAGACACCGGCTTAAATCTGTTCAGAAATTTTCAGTGTGATGACAATTTAAAAGAAGTGTGCAAATGCCAAATCTGAGTTCAAGAGATGCTGTACGAAAAGAAAGAATTCTACGAAAGAAAGACTGCTGAAGAAACTAAGCAATTTTCATATGACAGTGACTGTAAAAGGTTTTGGGATGAGGTGAAAACTGTTTTTAGCTCATAATTGTCGAGAAATATATCTGCTGATGTTTAGTTCAATTATTTCAGCGATATGCTAATCCCTGCTGTGATGGCAAACTGGACATATTTTGAATTAAATATTGTAGATTTTGTTGAGAAAACACTCATGTATAATGAGTACACATTTGCCTTTTACCAACGATCTTCTTTCATGTGAAATAACTGAATGTGAAATTACCAAAGCTATTTAGTCATTAAAAGAAGGAAAGGAATCCCATATATTGGAGTTGCAGTACAGGTCGAGTAGTCGTTTCATCATTTGGTGTACGCCAAGGATGTATATTAAGCCCGGTACTGTATACTTTCTTTACTAATGAATCTCGTGTATGAAAATTGTGATCAGGATATATTTATTACCCAGTATATAAAAGATATAATGTTACTCTTATTTGATGATGTTGTGGTAATGTTCTCATACACAGTATCCTTCTTGGATAGCCCAAGATGTGGGAAATATAAACAGTTTTATATGTATTTTTAATAAAGAATCGTTGATAATCTCCAGGAAGCCTGGACTATGCACATGTTCAATTCACCAAAGTGTAGGTACTATGTACAGTTCAAGTCACTTTTAAATGTTGAATTGTACCTTTCATCAAATATCCCTGTCTACTTAAGGTCTGCTTTGGAAAAAAATCGATGAAGTAACTTTGGGTAAGCTGTAGAAACTGGTAGATACACAAATATTAAATATGCACAGAGTCTTTGCCCATGTTGTAAAAATGATAATCAGTTATATATTGAAGATGAATTTCATGTTATCTTTACTTATAGTGGGTACAATGTATTAAGATATATTTATCTAAGCAGCCACCCACCACATGTAAATGATAATTGTCAATCTACATATCGCCTTGTAAATATATTGGCTTCTACGAAGAATGAACCATTGTACACTGTTAGCTGAACCTTTATAAAGTAAGACCCATGACGATCCGGGGTAGAATAGGTCTTCAGCAACCCGTGCTTGCCGTAAAATGCGACTATGCTTGTCGTAAAATGCGACTAACGGGATCGGGTGGTCAGGCTCGCTGACTTGGTTAATGCGAGTCATCGTATCCCAATTGCGTGGATCGATGCTCATGATGTCAATCACTGGATTGTCTGGTCCAGACTCGATTATTTACAGACCGCCGTCATATAGCTGGAATAAAGTGCGGCGTTAAACAAACAAACAAACAAACAAACATCGAGGAAAGTTGAACCTGTCACATAACTTGAACATTTGTGTTCTCAAGTATCCACAAAATGTAAACCCAAAATAAGCATGCGTCTCTAAATTGTATTAAACGGTTGTATTATGGGCCTCTGGCCTTTGTACTGAATAAATCTGTCTGTCTGTCATTTGTTTGATGGAAAAACAACCCCTATCCTACTTTATGGATCAGAATTTGGGGTACCAAGTATCATAGTGCCACAGCCATGATTCAGATTGTATACCTTGAAAAACTCCTTGGAATTGGTAAATTTGCTTCAAATAAAGCAGTACTTGAGGAAACAGGCCACTATTATACATATATTCTATGCCAGTGTAGAGTTGTTAAATATTGGATAAGACTGCTAAGAATGGATCCCCATTGCTTCCCATATCAATGTCATTTGATGCTTAAACGTTTGGATCATAAGCATGAACAAAATATAATTTAAATTGGATTCCTGATGTCAGATATTTATTATTAACCACAAGATTTTATTTTGCATGGATTTCGGAAGAAGTTGGTAATGAAAACTTATTTTTGCATCAATTTAGCACATCAATTTAAGTCTAGAACTCCGAACCGACCATTCCTTGTAATAGCCCCTTAATGTCAGGCGCCAGACAGGGTAACAACAAGTACCATCTTTTAACGTCTTTTGGTATGACGCGGACGGGGATCAAACCCCGGACCTTCCGCTCTCCGGGCGGACGCTCTACCACTAGACCTAGGAAGCGGTCTCAATTTAAACAATGATTTATAGAGTGAGTATGGTTTTACGCCGCATTTAGCAATATTCCAGCAATATCACGGCGGGGGGATACCAGCAATGGGCTTAACACATTGTACCCAAATCAGATTAATAGATATTTTTGAACAATCGTTGCATGAATCGATAAGTACATATATGTTTTTAAGTAATTATGCTGATTTAAAGTCACACTTGCTCCCAGAATTACTTCAGGATAGATACTTAATTAGAGCACTATTTAAACAAGATCTAAATTATATTTTCAATATTACAATGTAGACCTAATCAAATCAGTGACTCTGTTCATGAAATATGTATTGCAGTTGTGATGTTTCAAATGGGCATTTTATGATGTCTTCTAAGGGGAAACAACCTATTTCGAACTATGTTTTGTAACATTATTAAGTACAAATACAGTGTTCTGAGGTATATGGTCGGGGCAACATGAAAGTAGATGAGTATACAAGTAACCAATAGGAGACAAGTAACTTGAACCAATAGGAGACAAGTAACTTGAACCAATAGGAGACAAGTAACTTGAACCAATAGGAGACAAGTAACTTGAACCAATAGGAGACAAGTAACTTGAACAAATAGGAGACAAGTAACTTGAACCAATAGGAGACAAGTAACTTGAACGAATAGGAGACAAGCAACTTGAACCAATAGGAGACAAGTAACTTGAACCAATAGGAGACAAGTGACTTGAACCAATTGGAGCATCACATTGCATGATGATAGTACTGAGGTTAAGTGAGTGAGTGAGTTAATATTTAACGTCACATCGGCAATATTTCAGCCACAATATGACGAGACCACTTAATATATCAAGAGTAAAGACAGTAGGAGGTTACAAAAATCAGTCGACAATGGACGGTAAAACAGAGAGAGTATCACTGATTTGTAATTAAAACCAGCATTTATTTCTCAAAATATGACTATTTAGAACAATACATAATGAGCTACAGATCACCAGCAACCAAAGTTAAGCCACCATACAAGGGGGCATGGGGACTTACGGTACTTCTGCTACCTACATGGTACCCCAGCAGAATTTACACCATCCCTCTGGCTACTAGTGATGGTCAGAAACTTTAGCTAAACAATGAAAATCAACAAAAATACAACGAATAAATGAAAGAGAAATGAAAAAATACTTCAAATGATATCGGACTGACGTACCCTCTCAGGGATAATTTATTTTACGATACTTCAAGCCCCTTTAAAGATTCAGCCACTAACAACACAGTTATAATTCATTCTGCCAAATTAAAAATCACTTATACAATACATATACTCTTCAAAAAAAAGAAACGCAATACAGATATTTTTGGTCATAAAAGCAAAATTAGCAGACCAAGAGGTGCAAAATGAGTGAACCACTCCTGCCCAAGATCGGTACATCCGACTGCGCCACCTACGTGAAAGGACGGCCACTGCCAGCTCAACTGCATCCCAAATACCTGGACTGCGCAGAATCACCGACCAGGCCGTATGAAACCGTTTAAGAGCAGCAGGTCAACGAGCAGGTCCTGTTCGACGCGTCATATTGAGTCGACAAGACATGGCCCCATGTCCAATCTTCTGACACTTGTAACAACGGAGTGGATTAGGCAAATACACATCCACGCCAGTGCTGCAATAGCCACCATAGAGAAAGGTGATTCAACATCCCTGCTCCCCACCCACCATGGAGCGTCAATAAGGACAATGTTGTAGTAGAAGCCGACTACAAACACCAGGGCCCTTGACAATTATCTCAAGACAAATAGAACCCAGAGGTCAATTAAGCCAGATTGGCCCAT